CATCGGAAACTAGCTGAATTTCAATGGCTGATTGCAAAGCAGTAGGGATGGGGACCTGAATCTGCAGCTAGAACAGAGCACAAAACATTGATGGGCAACGAAACTAACAGCAAATATGATGAAGCAGTGAAAATTTCTGACCGATAAAGATCCTCCTATGCAGAGTGTGGGAAATGGGAAGGCTTCATGTGCCCTCAGGAAAGTTGGCACCTAGTTGCTCTGATGTTCACTATATAATCTGTGTCTGGCTGAGGTCACATACTACAGTAGCTCCTCTGAATATTAACAGTAACTCTAGCACCACATCGAAAATTAACACTAGAAAAGTTTTTATGCCAATTCTTAAAATGGTATTTTGCATTCTCCATGCCTTACCTTCACACACTGGACAGCATTCCCCAGGCACTTTTACGGGATTCAAGCAGCTCTGTCCACAGGCTGTGGCAACACAGTGAGATTCTCCATTGATACATTGGCAGAAAGTACAGTCATCTTCCCTCCAGCGGTCACCGTGTGCTTGAATCTGGCCATTAGCGTAACACCCAGCAGGGTTACTAACGGGAGAAATTGAATCTAAAAAAACAACCCCAAACCACATCAAAATGGTTCAATTTATTTGTAGTGTTTAATACATATGTTTTATTGATAATATAGCATTTTGAACATTCTGAGAGAATATCAACACAGGATTAAAAATAATTTATTACAAGACCACATTGATATTCATTACAACAGCAAGGGTGCACAGCTTTAAAAGTGTCAAAAATGTAAATTATCTTTCCCAAATGTTATCAACAGTGAATTATATTTTTACAGAACTTTATGAATTGGACTCTCTTTTAATAAGGAAAACTGACAGAAATACTACATTTGCAGAAGATATATAAGCACTAGAGATAATTCAGATTATTTATAAAACTCTTGGGGTATCAAGGAAGTGAATAGCATCCTGAGCAGCCGTCCCAATTTCAAGGTTCTTTTGCCAGGAATTATGAGCTATCGCTTCAACACATTAAATAATACTAAAATCTATGACGACTTACAGCTTGTGCAGGGGTTAGCTTCCAGGGACTACATGTAAAGCTGAAATCATGTACAGTGGTATCTTGGGTTACAGACGCTTCAGGTTACATACGCTTCAAGTTACAGACTCCGCTAACCCAGAAACAGTGCTTCAGGTTAAGAACCTTGCTTCAGGATGAGAACAGAAATCGTGCTCCCGTGGCGCGGCAGCAGCAGGAGGCCCCATTAGCAAAAGTGGTGCTTCAGGTTAAGAACAGTTTCAGGTTAAGAACGGACCTCCAGAACGAATTAAGTACTTAACCCGAAGTACCACTGTATAGCTACAACAAGCCCAGAACCACACCCGTGTGACCATCCCAACCTTCCTGAAGCCAGTGTGCTGAGTGGGCCTTGCCCCTGGGTGTAAAGTGGAGCCTTGCTTGCTGGACTGGGACACTTCAGTGAGATCCCAGGACCCATTTGAGACTTTCCCAGAGCCCAGTAAGCAAGGCAGAGAGCTTAAAAGTGCTTTCTGTGACAGGGAAAACAAGCCTGGATAGCCGTTCTAAACTCTCTGGTTTGCTTACTGGGCTCTAGAGGTTTCACAAGATCTCAGATGGTCCTGTGAGATCTCATGAGACATTCCCAGCATTCAGTAAGCAAGCCTGGGAGCTTTCAAGCTCTTCCCCTTGCATGCATTTAATTTGTGCAGTCGCAGCTGGCTGGCCACCAAACATGTAAAGCTGTCATTGCTGAAGTTAAATGCATCCAAGTTGTGAGTTGGCTGTACTTTTAAATCAGATTCAAAGAGCACCAGAGCTATAACAACAACAACAACAACAACAACAATAATAATAATAATTACCTTCGCATACTGGACAGCATTCTCCTTCTGGTACATAGTATCTGTCACAATGTAGCTCACCACACTGTGCCGAGAAACAAATAGACACACCACCTTGGCATCGACAAAACCGGCAGGCATCCATTCGAAACATATCTCCATCATAATATTCCACACTATTAAATATACAAGCTGGCTTCACTTCTGAAAATAGCAACAACAACAACAAAATAACTTTTCATGAAGGTGCTTGGCTATAAAAAGCATAGTGACTTAACTCATGAAATTCTCAGATATAGGATTATCTACTCCTTGGTAAAAAAAATAAATCTGGATTTTTGTTTCTGAAATGTTTCACAGTTTACTTAATATATACCAGGCTGAAAGTGCCTCAGCTGAAATTGCTCCTACTTGTGAAAGCTGGGGAACATGATTTTTGCTAATCCTACCTTCACCTACTGTAGTCCTCCATGATACATCCTATTTTGTTCTGGAGGGTCCCCTAACATTCAGGAACGCTTTTCAAGAGGGACTTAAGCTTGGAGGGTATTTTTTTTCTGGATGGCAGCTGCATATTCTAGGGCGTGTTCTACATCTACAATTATAAAAAAGAATGATAGTGACAGAAGAACTACTGGTGTACTCCAGCTACTCCATCCATCTATCAAGGAAAGAGCCACTTATTTTGAACTTAGCCTCAGCTTTATCACACCTGAGCTAGGCCTTTGCAAAAAGTCAGAAGAATTCAGGGTGCAGAAACAAAAAGTTATACACACAGCCTCTTTACTGTGAGGCCGTAGGGTGATATTTAACTCTCTTGTTTTAGCTCTGCTACCAGAGTTTGCTGGTGAACACCTAGCCCATGTTTTGTTTTGTTCAATGAAATATGACTGTTGCTGTTCATTTTACATTTTATTTCAATAAAGATGTATTTTTTGAAAAATGCTCATGACTATGCTGGTTTCACAGATATAAATTTGGGATAAATTTCCTTCATTGGATCAAATGTCATGGCAAGCCCCCACATTGCACAGAATCATTTGGCAGCACTCCTGCCCTTTTATCTGAGCCCAATTTATATGCTAAACCCCATTCTAACTTTATGTACTACAAATACTTATGCCAGGAAAAAGGCTCTGTTGAAACATATTGCTAATTATTGGTTGATAATTAACTACCCTAATTTTTATTTTATTTTTTATCAATTATCCTGGAAACATTCATATTCAAGAGTGGCACATGAAAATGAATTATTTTACCGATTCATCTCATGGATAAATTGCCTAAGACTTTTTAAATATTGTCTATTCTTAATGGAAGCTAACATACCACAGCGGCTTCAGGCCAAATTAGATGCAACATGAAACACCTGCTTTAATGTTGCATGTATACCTTTACAATTGCAAATAGCAGCACCAGCGCCCCCAATCAGGAAGTGAGGGAGGAGCCTTTTCCTGTGCTCGCACTGTAGCCCGGACCAAAAAAATGCCCTTTTGAATTTATTTACATTGGGAAGGCAGCTCCCACTTAGCCCAACAGGAAATTCCCTCTTAATGAAAATTAGTTGTGACTCTGACCCAGGGGAAGCATTAAGCTCTCCCTCCCTGTTGTGGTCCAATCCTAATTGGGGGATTCAATGACTGCTATTTATGGTTTAAAAAGGGCACATGGACATTAAACAACATTAAACCACAGAATGTGCAGTGACACAGACGTCTCCAATTCAAGGTGGCTTTGGGCTAGCAACACACTCTTTCAGCCTTAGCTTCTTTACTGGCAATAAAGGGAAAAATAATATGGATCGATCTCACAGAGTTGTTGCAAGTACTACTGTGATAATGTATACCTAGCACTTTGAAGACACTAAGGTGGAATCTACTCACATATTAAAAACATTCTGAAAATGCTTTTTTAAAAGCGTTTTTAAAAATACGCTGAATTTTCCATTAGGCTCACCATCGCCATCTATTGTCACATTGTATATTGCACTTAAAACGTTTTATTTGCAGCTGTATAGCTGAGTCCTAAGATTCTGTATGAGTAAATGAAGCTTTCTCATTATGGAGTCAAACCATTGGTCTAACTTGGCACTTACACCGACTGGCAATGGCTCTCTAGATTTCAGACTAGTATTGAACATAGCATTTTCTGCATGCAAATCATGCAGTCTATCATTCTGATTACATTACAAACAAATCACAACCCCTATTCACTCGGTTAACAGAAAGGTAGCTGATATATAGCTAAATGTTATGGGTATTGGGGTGTGACAAGTAGTCCTTTGTCTCACAGCCTATCAATTTAGGATGCCTCATAATGCATAATCTTAACGATTTCAGAAGAGTCAATGTTTGCAGTGAAACATCAGTGCACCTTCTTACGACTTCTACACTACACTGCTGCCTGTGCCTCTTTCTGCTCAAGCAAATCCCAGATGTACCTGGAGCTTAGGAACTGTAGGTGGATCAAAGCAGTCCAAGCATCTCTGGGTCAGGAGTTACATACCTATGTTGTCTGGCAATTCTGTCTAGCCACTGGACCATCCTGGCTTTCATATATGCCTGGGGTTTCTTAGGGTTTAGCTATCTGTACTGACACTGAAGGGAGTTATTTCAGTGCAATGAACAGAAACAGAAAATATTTGATGGTACACTATTGGATTAATTAACAGAAACTGCACTACATCTGGAAAGTTACTGGAACTCAGAGAATGTTTTTAAAAGGCGATTAAGGTCTGTTAAGAGCAAGATCATCTTACTCCAACCGTTTTAGAAGTCAGAACACATTAGGAAAACAAAACAATTGCAGACATTTCTTTGCAGACAATTTCTAAAGGTGACTGCAGCGTCTTTTGATTGCTATGAACCCTGGATGACACTTTTGTATTTAATTCAGAAGATTATCAGCAGGAAGTTCTTTTTCCTTCACTAAGCCATGTAGCACACTCTTGGGATATCTGTTGCCTAAATATCCTACCTAACCTATCTTAAATCTTCTTTTGTGGCTATGATAATTAGTAGCTGCTAAATTCCACATAAATAATGTGTTTTATTCTGTAACACTATAGGAAGTTACCTTATACCAAGTCAGACCACTGGTCCATCTAGCTCATTACGGTCTACACTGACTGGCAGTGACTCGCCAAAGTTTCAGGCAGGATTCCCTACCTGAGGATTGAAGGAGGGACCTTTTGTATGCAAAACAGATGCTCTACCACTTAGCTACAGTCCTTCCAACTATGAATTTTATTTTACCTGATGCTACACTGCCAGCTCAAATAGTCATCATAATACTGTAATTACCACCAAACAACTTCTTTTGTCTTTTCAAAACAGGTACCACCACCACTGAGTGAAAGCCCACATTCCCTCTTGGGCAATTTGTTCAGAGCTGCATGCTAGTGCTGGAGAGGGCCAGAACCAAAAGTGAGTGGGCTAGAACCTCCCACACAATTTCTTTCAAAATCATCACCATCCCTCATTCTTTTTCTCAAGATCACCACCATCACTTCTTCTCCTAAAATCATAATCCACCCTTCCCACAAGGATTGGATCACATTGCCATCTCCTGCTCCAGCCTGGCTGCATTGATACCATCACTGAACAGCAGCAGCCAGTCCATACAAACTTGGGAGACTTTCAGGATTGCTTTCTAGATCAGAAAACATGATTACAGGTAAACTTGGGACCAGAAATCAAGCCCTACTTTGCCCTCATCTACTCTACTCCGCACAGTGTTTCCTTCTCTGCCAGAAAACACTAGGAGAAAAATCTAGAATTGCAAAGCACCTAGGTCTCCTACAGAGTATGCTCACTTCATTCTCTTTATCATTATTTGGAGCATTGATTTCCCTCTGACCCAGGGGTGTGTGTGTATGTGTGAAGTTTCAGGAACCACCACTATGAGGTACTCAGCTTGCTTCCCCATCTCTGGCTCTTCTATATGAAAAGATTGTTGAGGATGCTTCAGGAGCCATTACTTCAAGGCTGCCAGTGAAGCACACTTTTTCCACTGGTAACCAGTGGGTGGGGGCAAGGAGTAGGCATAGGATGGAAGGGAATGTGAGTGGGCTGTATCTGGCCAGAAGCCAGTAGATCTAAATTTAAATAAAGAACCTCTGTTATATTTATAACTTTATGACTTTGGATATAGCACCCCTAAAGGATACTGATTTTTAAACACATATTTGCACAGTAACATTCATTAAAGAGCGGTACATAGCATGAACAGAAATTTCAGGAACAGAGAGAAAGAATAAAATAATAATCCTTAACTGAGTTTGCCTTTTAAAGGCATAACTTCACTGTTGTTAGATCTATAGCCCAGTAGCATACTATACATTTATTAGTTTGAGTTGTTATTTGTATAGTAAACATTATTTCAGCAGTGGTGCTTTTTGTAACATAATTCTTACAATGAGAGTTATTATTCTATTATATCATTTTGTTTGTGATCTTTGATGTGTTTTTTATATCAAGCAAACAAAAGATGCTTCACTAGAATACCTGCATCTTGCCTGGTACTTAGGAAAAGTATATTAATGTTTACTTGGTTTACATGTTATAATTACACAGCATCTCAAAGAGTAATTAAAACAGCATGTGTCCCTTTGATATTTTCGTTCAAAATGAACTCAAAGATATGAAACGTAACAATATAAAGAGAGATGGCAGAAAACCTCAAAAATTCTAGAGATTATAGGCCTGTTCACCCTTAACGCTAAGTCAAATCCTGGCTAAGCATGAACAAGCAAGCATGTGGGCTCTCACAGCGAAAATTATGGCAGCTTTGCTCTCCCTTGATCCTGCTGCTACTGCCCTAAGCCATGGTTTAGCTTAGCATTACGTACATCTAAATCTGGGTTTGTATCAATATATATTGCCCAATGTATCATTGAAGATTTTACTTGCTCATCCTTTGTCTCCTAATCCAATAATATCTTATATATTTTAGACAGCACTTTAACATTACATTCCAACAGATCTCTCTCCAATTGTGGTATTTGTTTCCCAAACCCTCATTTCGTATCTTTCTTAAATACTTCACTCAAATGGTTTTAGTTTGTTTTAAACTGATTTGTTTTTGCTCTTGCCATCTGTCCCAGATTTAATTAAGTTTAAACTACTATTTAATTAATCTAATACTGAGATGCACAGACTCTGAATATTTTGTTGATACTTATTGTTTATTATTGATATTTTGGGAACTAATGGGCCAGGGATAGCTAAACTGTGCCCCTCCAGAAGTTGCTGGACTATAAGTCTCATTATCCCTGACAACTGGGCATGCTAGCTGAAGCTGATGAGAGCTGGAATTTAAAAACATTTGGAGGGTCATAGGTTAGGAATCCCAGTAGAAAATAATGCATAACAGGTAATGCTGACATTTAGCAGTAAATCTCAGTAGTTAACTAGTAGCCCAATGCTTTCCTAATTTTGTGAGCCAGAATCCAGAGTTATCTGGCTATATCTGAGCATTCACGGGGGCTTTTCAGATCTGATACAGGGCATGAGCTACAGGTAAAGCCTTGCCGTCAATACAAATTCCATGTGCCTGGCCCATTCACTTGCTACATTAGCATAGAGGCATCACAGCCTGCCTGGCCATCAATCAGTATAGAATAAACAAAAATAGCTTGCTTTCAGATTTCCCTAATGAGTATTTGAAAACCCATGTCACTGCAGATATGCTTTGGAAGATTTGTATTTATTTTCCACTATATTTCAATTTTTCACATTATGTGTAAATAACATGAAATTATAACTTTCAAATAAAATAATAATAATAATAATAATAATGCATACCACTATTAATTAACTGTGCCCCTCTCGTTAGCCAGTGATGTGGCTTAATTTGTAGTTTAGCAGTTTAACTTGAAGGATACAATTCTTCAATAATCTATTTACACAGAGGTGTAAAGAGGGCTGGGTTCACCCCTTGAAACATGCCTCCCCCTCCATCTACTGAGTTGCCTGTGATGGCACCTGCAGCAGACTTTTAAAAAAATAAACATGAACTGCACATAACAGCAGGAGAAAAGGCTTGCCAGGAAGATGGCTGCAAAGTGCTCAGGCACCAAGAAGGGGTCTCTTTCCTGAGTGGTTTGCAATCATCACCAGGACTCGGAAAACATTGTAGCAGATCTGAGTGCTCCTTTCCACTTTCTAAACGCAGTAAGCACAACATTTTATTTAAGACAGCCTTCTGTTAGCCCAATAAATAGGAACATGGTATACCTTTACCGAGAGATAAAACTCTGTAATGATTTTGATCCAAAATTGGGACAAAATCTTGGAGGCAGCAGTTCCTGACCTCTTTTGGGATGAAGGGTAGGCATAAATCCACTGAAATAAATATTTGCACGACTTCTGGCACATGGCTAAAACCTGTCTTTCAAGGTCATTGTCAAAGGTTCTGGTAGTGTGTTCAAGAGGTTTTAAATTAATCTATGGCTATGGACTATTTAAAATGGCTTTCGTATTGTTGTATTATATGCTTCTTTTTTTCTGAAAAATAATTAATTCATAGAAGTACCCTATCATACCCAGTATTAACAGACCCCTACTAAATAAGGTTAAGTTTTAATACCCTACAAGTTTTTAGTAGGAATATTGTCCTATGTAAACTTATATATAGTTTCTACTTGTGCCCCATATTGGACAACATATTTAAATTAGCCATAAACCAAACTCCTCAAAATGTTCAGTCCAAATACACTGAGAACGTAACATACCATTGACACATTCAAAGACATCACAGCACTTGCCAGGTGTTCTGTCTCCACGTGACACTATTTGGGGGATGTAGCCTGCCTCGCATTTTGGAACACCACATAAACCAGAGAGACATTCGCACCTGAAACCGAAGCATTGAAAGCTCCATAAATAAGTGAGGCAACATATGAGGGAGGGAAAGCACAAACATGGGGGGAAACAGCTGGTGATAGCAAGTTGGTTTTCTGCTGTTACATAATAAAAGACAACATGACTATTTAAAACACAACACAGTAAACAAAATTTAACAATTGTTCCAATGGACAATGCTTGGCTTTGATCAGAAGACTGGTGTTCCAAATCTTACATACATCCCAAGCAGAGGTAGGCCTGTTGAAAAGTCACTAATTCCTTAGTTCTTGATCATAAAAACCATATATCTCACAGGGTTTTTGGGAGAATCATCAAAATAACGAAGGAGCATTCTATGCCACGAAACTGCTTAAATATTGCTACAGTACTAACACTATCTCTAGCAACTCATTCTCTTAACTCTGTGATGTGATATTTAATTTGAAATGGCATGGAAATGTAACATAAGGTGACATGAGTAATTAGGATCTGTATAAATCTTTCAGAAGCCCAAGGACAGTGTTGCAAACTCAACCATCAACATTTAAAGTTTACTTATACAAGTCATTTCAGCCTCATTCATAGAAAGTGAACAACATCCCACCCCAGACATTTTCTGGTCATTAGATTTTCAAACACATATGGATAATAAACCTTAAACTGTCCAAACAATCCAAAACTCTAATCTACCTACAATGAGTACTTAGGAGGTTTCTGAGATACACAAAAGATACTCCTCTTTAAAGAGGAGATGGCACTGAAGACATTTGCAAATTATTTTTTAAATCATGAATGCTAATCCCTGAAATATCCATCCAGAGAAGAGTTGAAGTGAGAAAAGAAGAATATGGAATCATCCTTTAAGAATAAAACATCATATACTTATATATTAGATAGGGGTAACCAATGTGGGACCCTACCCCCCATCCCTGATCACTATCTTTGCTGGTTGGGGCTGATGGGAGCTGAAGCCTAACAACATCTGAAGGGAACCATATTAAGTACGCGCATACTGAAAATTGCTGAAAATATATGTGGGGTAGAGGGGGACTGTTTGAAAAATGTCAGCACAGGGGAAGAGAATTTAACTATGGCAGCAGATTCCCCCCCTCCCTCATTTTGTAGTAAAACGCTGTTTTACCACCTAACTCAATCAGTATTACCTCCAGTAAGACAGGGGCTTTTAACTGCTTGGGCAACTCCCAAGCAATGCAGAAAAACTAGCTTGTGTGCATCCCTGACACTCAGCGTCCCAACTTACCCCTGTATACTACAGTATAATCTTATTAAGGTACTGACCAATTCAGGGTCAGAAGAAAGGTGCTCGCTCTATTCCTAATTAATCTATAACCCCCTCTCCCAAACAGTTTAAAGTATCCTGTATTG